ACCCCACCCCCTCCCCACCACCACCACCACGACGGCTGCCTTCCTCACCAACCTCGCGACTGCCAAAACGCTTGCATCCAACCGCAGCATCTACCTGTTCATGGCGTCCATCGCCACCCTCCTCGGCCTGTGGGCGCTGCTGCTCGTGCCGGAGACAAACCGCGTCCCCATAGAGCGGCTGCAGGCCACGTTTGCGCGCCACTGGCTGTGGCGGCGCTTCTTTACGCCCAGCGACGAGGAGAGCGCAGAGGCGCTGGCGCGGGACGCAAAGGTGCGTTGATGATCTGATGCCTTGAGCTGAGCTGGCGTGTGTGTGTGTGTGTGTAAGAGAGAGAGAGAGAGAGAGAGAGTGTGTGTGTGTGTGTGTGCGTGCGTGTGTGTGTGTGTGTGCACGCACGCGCACATGAGCGCCCGTATTGGGGGGGCATGTGTAGGTGTGCACGTGCGTGCGTATTCGTGCACGCGATCAGGACAACTGGGCAAGGTCCCTGGACATCCCCGTGTTCTCCAGTATGCTCGCCGGCGCGCCGCGCAGCCAGCTCCCTTTCCTGGCCCCCAAACAGCTGATTCGGACTCCTTGGCCCACCATTTATCCACACCCCATCATCTTGCTCGACACCCCATAATCGTCCGCCATCCAACGTGACAGCAGGTCGTGGTCAGCAGCAGCGGAGAGATCAAGGAGGCAACGTCATGACTGTCCTCAACCACCGCGGCGGTCACCCAGCCGCATTGCAGCTCTGCTGCCCCGCTCCACTCGCGGCATTTATAAACGGACGACTGGCGAGGACGTGTGCCGCCACGGATACCCTTGTGCAGACGCAGCAATGCGACTATCTTGCGTCGCAGTATTGGCGGCCTTGCACCCCTTCGGCCCTGTTGGCTTGCGGTCTGCCGGCCTGAGACCTCTTCCTTCGCGTCTGCGTGCCATCCTGGCAAACAAAGTGGATTCCTCGCCGCCGCACACACGCACCCGCCCAGTAGCTTCCTGGATTCGTGTTCTCCTGTCACCCATGATTGCCGGCACGCCGTTTCCCGCATGAACGCGCCTTCCCTTTGGCCAATGTATGAGTGTGCAGCCACAAGACCGTTCCCTGTGCTGCGTTGCTTCTGGTATGTGTAGCACGCAGGCACGGCGCCAAGGACATGCATTAACCCCCTCCCCGCCGCATCGACCCCGACCGAACCCGCCCGCCCACACGGGCTGCCTGCCGCAGCGCTCACGCTACTGCGCACGCGCCCAGTGCCTGTGACCGCACCCGCCCTAGCTGATCCTTGGCTCTTGCGCTCCAAGTTGTGGCTCAAGCTGGGCTCGGCCTGCTGAGAGCGTGGCCTGCCCGCTTCAACCCCCTCTGGATGGATGTTATGTGTCTCTGAGAGCGGGCTCGCGCTCGGCCTTCCGTTTGAATGCAACTCAAGCTGCCTTCTCAAGCCCCCTTTGAAAAAGTAATGATCACAAGACTGGCAATCAACACCACCGTCTGCAGCTGCAGCTGCAGCTGTCCGCGAGCGCGATGAAGCAAGCACGGGGAGGCTTCCGTGCTGACCCTTGTGACGCGCTGGAAAACCCATGGCCAGCCCACGCCAGCCTACAGTCGGGGCGGCGCCAGTGAACGGCCCCACTGCTAGCTCCCCTCCAACCGCACCAGCGTGCCCGCGAACCGCGGCCCCTGCCCGCCCCCGGCGTACCGGCTGAACGCCGCCGGCCCCAGCAGGCACGCCGCCTCGCCGGCCGCGCTGCCCGCCTCTGCGATGATCACGTCCACCCCCAAAGCCGCGATCGCCGCCGCCTCCAGCACCTTTGTCTCCACCCCGCCCGTCACGTCGTGCGCGGCGCACGCAAACTGCGGGCGCCGCCGGCCGGCGGCGCTGCTCCCGCTGACGTCAGCGTCGTCGCCGGGGTCGGCGGCTGCCCGCCAGCTTCCGTCGGGCGACACGAGGATCTCTGGTAGCAGGGCCGCCCCGGGCTGCTCGGGCGGCCGGTCGTATATCCCGGCCACGTTCGTGAGGAACACCACATGCCCGCCGGCCGCTGGCTCGACGGGCCCCGCTTCATGAGCTGCGGAGCCTGCTCCCCCATCCGCCAGCACCAACCCCTGCTCATTGCCCGCGATTCGCTCCGTCGCCCCAGCGCCGCGCTGCTCTGGCCAGCCGCCGCCGCCGCTGCTGCTGCAGCCGGTGCCCCGCGGCGCGAGGAACGCCTCTGCCACTGCCCGCACGATGGTATCGCCGCTGAGGATCGTGCATCCCAGCTCTGAGTCCAGGACTGCGTCCCCATGCAGCACCGGCACCAGCCCCGCCTGCAGCAGCCCCGCCACGACCCCCAGCCCCGCCGCGCAGCCGTCGCCGCCGAGCCGCCCGCCGTGCGTCGCCCACCCGCCGCCGCAGGGCGACGCGCCGGCCGCCGGCGCGCCGGCGGCGGCGAGCGCGGCGCAGACGGTCGAGTTCAGTTTGGTGACGGAGGCGCGGGTGAGGGCAAAGCCGAGGAGCGTCTGCTCTCGCGGCGCGCCGGGCGCGCCGCCGCGCGCAACCGAAAACTGCTTAGCGGTCATGTGGCCGAAGCTGCCGGCGCCGTGGACGACGACGGCGCCGCCGCCGTTGCGGTGCAGCGCGGCGACGGTCGCGGCGACAGACGCGAGCGTGTCGGGGCGCAGCGTCTCCAGTCGGGACTTGTCGGTGATGGCGGCGCCGCCTAGCTTGATCACGCAGCGGCAGGCGGGGCGCGGGTGCTGCTCGCCGAGCTGCTGCGGGCTGTGGGTGGCCGACATGCGAGTAGCTGCAGCTCTGCCGCGCTCGCTAAAAATGTTAATGCGTAGGTTTGAATTGCACGGCCTGGACGAGGTCTGCATGAACGAATTCCGATACGGTACAGCAGTCTGCATGCGAGTATGCGCTCGTGATTCAAAGTAATATGTATCAGTACATAGCATTCATTGCTTTGGCATAATGACTTGCTGTGGCACAAGCCGGTGTACTGTCAATTCGTCATGCTGTGTGCTGGGGGTGACTTGGTCACCAGCTCACTCGACGGCAATGTTTTTCACCACCCTGCATACCACCACGATCCTAGCGGTGGACAAACGGACTCAGTCGAAGCATGGTCGTCTGTTGGTCTTGTGACCTGTATGAAGCGCCCGCCGTCGCCTTGGATGGTGTATCGCAAAGCAGCCGGCTTGTGACGCCGTGTCCGCGCGGCCTGAGTATGCCTGCAGCTAGGCTTACACATGTCCATAACTACTGTCACAATCAACTGCAAGGGCCAGGAGGTTCAGATGTTTCAAAGAGCACAGCACTGCTCAGGCTGATCGATGAGCAATTCTCAGCTTGTCAGCGCACTGCAGATGGCCGAGCGTCACTGCAAGGTGTGCGCGCCTTCAGAGGGAGGGTGTAGTTTGCGTGCACCACGCTCTGTATATCCGTTGTATACGCCTGGTTGTAGTGCTAATTATTAACCTTGACCATCCCCGCAACCCAAAATTGACTCGGCACGGACCGCAGCCCGACCAACATAAAACGGTACATGACACACTAAGTACGTATCTATATATTAAGAAGTTAGCGCGACCACCACGTCATCGCAGGCTTGCTGCCGTGGCATCACCTGCGGCGGTGGCGCGGCGTGCCGCACGCGTTTACCGCAGCACCGGTGCTGATTGTGTAGGGCCAACCATCAACCATCAGAGGCAGCTCGTGCTAGGCCATGGGCCGCGATGGCGGCATCGACTCGCGTCTGTTGCAGCCCGCGCCATGCATCAGCGCGGTCGGCCGGAGGTGCGAATATATCGCAGCCCTTCGAATGCAGCCCTTCTCCCGTGGGCGGGAGCGGCGCGCATCTGGAGCGCCGCAGCAGCACTGCGCGCCTGTTGCATTGATGCGTTCACACGTACCACGGCCCTACAAAGCCCATACGTAGTGCCTTGGTCAGGCGCTCACGGCTCGCCCCCACAAATGACTCACAACGACACAGCTCTGTGCGGCTCTTCGGAAACCTGGGCACGGGTCATGGACAACAACCAGACGAGGCGACGCAAGGCGGCAGCGCTGGCAGCTACAGCACCATTTGGGCTGTCGGCGCCACCACCGGCGCGCCCCATGCGGCTGCAGCGGATGCGGCGTCCGCGGATAACAGCACGTGCGCGCGGCAGCCGGGCGAGACGGCCAGACGAGGCGACACAGCGGCCACATTTCGAGGCAGCGGCCAGCTTCAGGGCTTGAAAGAAGACGGGAGGCCAAGCTTGCTGAGCAGGAGCGCTACGCTCGACCCATCCAGGGTCGAGAAAGGGGTTCTGTTTGAGAGCCGCCGCGGCGGCATCGACCTCACAGCAGAAGTGGCACTTGCCGCAGGCCCGGGCGCAGGAGACAACTCCACGCAGCGGCTCACCATCGGCAACCCGCGTGCATCCGCGCTATCGGGATGGCGTGCGCCGCTTGCACGGGCTTCGTCTGCTGCCGCAACCCTGGCTGCGGCCTCGGCCCCTGTATCAGCGGCGGCGCGACAATCGCTCATCAATGGGCGCGGCGGCAGCGACGTCAGCAACGGCCTCTATAATGCCCCGGCGGTGGTGGCTGCGCCGACGTTCTCTTGCATGGGTGTGATGGCCACAGGAGAGGTCGGTCTCAGCCTGCTCGCGGCCGACGCCGCATCAGGGGGGCCAGAGGTGGTGTCTGGTGGCGCGCGAGCAAGCACGCTGGCTTTGGGCAAGGCGGCGGTCGGCGAAACGTCAATGCGTGAGCGGCAGCCACCGCCAGGCGCCCGCCCGGCGAGTGCAGCAGCAGCGCCGGCGGCGGCGGCCGTGGTGGCCCGGGCGGCGGCCTTGGCGGCGGGCGCGCGGCCGGCGAGCGCGGGCTCCGCCAGCGGGCGCGGCGGG